ATAATATATGGTTATATAATAGGTGAATTAATTTAAAATACCATACATTAAAAAGCAACAACTCAATGAATTTAAATATAACAATTAATATCAATTTCAAATGATTATATCTCGTTACGCTTCCCAATTTAAATGATTTCTGTAATTTAAATCAAATTGAATGTTTATAAGTCAAGTTCTGACATCTTAGTACACCCATCCCAATCATTATAGTACCAATTTGGTCTTTCTTTCTGTGTATCTCATGGATGCGCCAGAACAGCAACTTGATGCATTGTCTGTATGTGCGTGTGCAGTTGGCCAAGTCGAGTAAAACATAAACGGGTTAGGCAGCAACTAGGGGAGCATCCCAGCCACCAGAACCAGAACAACAACAACAACAGCAGCAGCAACAACAACTTCTTTAAGGAGAGTAGTAGCCACACCACCGTTATATAAATTAAAAATGTAAATAACAATGTTTGAGGTGATCACGATATAATTCTTATTTTTTTCGTATTTGATTTTAAGGAGGGGAACCACATTTACCGCAGATTTTCTTTGCCGACGGATTTCACTTGCAATTTGCGTAGTCAGAGCACAGTTTTTGGCACAATCATAATTAAATATGGATCGTTATCGTGTCAAAGGCCTTATCAGCGACTACGAATTATAATTTCTTAGGCCTATCGAGATGCCTGCACTTCACATGGCTCGGAAACTCGGAAATTGCGAATAGAGCACGGCACACGGAATATCGGATCGAACAGAATCGGGGAAATACTAATAAAACCAGGCCCAAACGCAGCGAACCGTTTGCCTCGGATGTTCAGCGGGAACTGAGCGCCGGCAAAAAGCCAGATACTCGGGCCGATGCGGCGAATGAGCAACGCGAGTGCGGCGAGAAAAACAGAGAAATTGAGAAGCCGAGAGAGCGAGAGAACGGGCAGGAGAACCGGTTGCCGAACACCCAGCAAACATTTTCAAAAAAGAAAGTCTCTATAGGGCAGACGAGACTTAATAGTGGGTTTTTCAGGGGATTAGTTAGGTTGTTGACATCTGTCGTTCCCATTATTTCCTACCTCTTCCCTTTCCCATACAAATAATCTTATTTTAACTAAAGGGCAATCAAAAAATTGTGTAGTTACAATCATTTTAAAACATTTCAAAAGGTTTTGGTAATTATCATATATTTTTATAATATGATTAACATAAAAAACAACATTTTAATATTATTATTTTACATAGTCATTTCTACCACGTGGCTGGGTGTCATTAGAAATACTATCGTGAAAAAACGATTCCTAAGGGTTTTTAGAAACATTAAATATATGAAATCCAATAGAATCAGTTTAAGTATAAGGCCAATTTAACCAATTTTCTCTAACCTTCCACCAAAATAGTGTCAAAGTGAATCCCTTTTGTATTTTTCGGTGTTTTGTCCTGTTTCAGTCCTGAATTTGCTCTTTGGTATTACTCTGCTAGATAGCAATGACTGTTGTAATCGGAGAATTACCAAATTTCCGCACTATTAATTACACAGGTTCGGGTCCTTCGGGCGACAGCTGCCAGGATCTAAGGACACCCACCCACCCCATGGGTCGCTTTGGAAACGGAAGCAGCTGAAATGTAACCAAAACAAAAGCTATGATAAATGCAATGCGTGATCTACCCTTGACTCGTCCTCGACCAGTACCAAACACCCCCGCAATCCAAACCCCCTGCAATTGTCCATTTAATATTCCCCCCCTTTCGTTGCCTGTCATTTTCACGATAAATGTGAAAATGCATTTGCGCATCAAACGCAGGCGGGCCAATAAATTCATTAATAAATGGGAAAGTGAAAAGCGCAGTAGCTCTGCTGCTCCTGGTCTTTGTTGTCCTTGTGGCCAGAGATGGGTCTGTTCTGCGCATAATGCAAACAGTGTTTGCAAAGTCCTACACTGTCGGGAGCTTAAAATCAATGCACAGAAAAAAAATCTTAAATATTAAGAAAAATATTGCTTAGAACCAAAGAAATATTGACACTGCATCTTAAAAATTCTGAGCTAACGGCACCTTTTTTATAATTTTAGACAACATTTCTTTCATTGAGTAAACCTGTTTTATTTGAAAAAAATTCTTTAGAAGTATAGTAATAATAAAAATTCTAATTATAATCGTAGTAAAGCCCTGCTTTCTAAAATTCATTGTGAATATTTTTGGGTGCAGATATTTAAAGGCTACCTTACAACAAATCGTGGAAAGAAAGAATATTAAATTAATTATTTTGTGACCTTTCAACGTATTGCTCCAAAATTTTTAAAAATATGAATGTTTAATGTTGTTGTTCCTGAATTATTATAAAATTGAAGCTGAGACTTAAGAACGCGATTGAAAATCACACTTTTAATTTTCTTTAAATTATTAAAATCAAAATTACAGAAGCCCATGCACAGAGGTTTCCTTTTTGCTGTATATCTATAGATATCACCTTAAATTTTTAATAATTTTTTTGGTGTGCGTCCAATCCACTCTATAATCCACCACCCCCTCCACCGACTGAATAATGGATATTGAAATCGCATCGGTACTTGAAGGGGTGTGAGATATTGTACTTTATGCCGATTAATGCTGCCGCGCTGGAGGACAAAACCCCTGACCATTGATTTGATTGCCGGGCAAATGGCCAGCCACCTTCGCCACCTCTTGGCCATTATATTTTGCACCAGGCCAGACGTCTCTTGGCCAGCCTGTTGCCCATTTCAGACTCACTGCGTGCTCTTTGTTCCGCCAGCCATTCATCTGCCCGCTGCAGTTGTTGTTTTTTCCCTGTGTTTTCTTCTGGGCTTTACGGTGTTTGTCGTGTTGTCTATGCACCGGATCTGTTTCCCGGGTCCCGGTTCGCTGTGTTTATTTTAGATGGAGCCAGACGGCAAAAAAGAAGATTTACAAAGGCGCCTCAGCCTCATAAAGTATTTAGTGAGACGGCGATATCCCGACACCAGGCACCTTCCGGTGTCCTGATGCCTGGACAGGATAATTCTCTTCTTATTTGCTTACTTTTATACCACGTATATACCACAGTTCCCCCCCATCTCATCCGAAGAATTGGACCAACTATAAACAGAGAGACGGCCTAAATATCTGCTTCTAATTTAAGCAGACCTGGGTCTATTGTGACGCATAGTTGCCTCACATAAATCTCTTCGAATGTCCCATTAATGTTTGAGTTGCTTTTGCAAGTGCAATTCTTTGGTGGATATACATAATATATGGGGCATCGGTTTCAGCTGCCTTCGAAGAACAGAAGAAAATGGGAGGCAACAGTTGGCGGCCAATTGAAACTAATGAATAAATAACATATGCAGTGTGTAAGACAGTAGTAAAATTGATGAGAGAAGTTCAACATGGGTCTGAACTCGTATATATCTATGGGTCTACGAGTATATAGCTTGCTAAACCAGAATGGTTCGGAAATAAGAACTCGTCAAACAATGGATGACCGACTTGTAAATTGTGCAATAGTGTGGGGCCAATAAATGAATGGTTGTTATAGGTTAGACATGAAGCAACAAAATCAAAACAAAACCATTAAGATGCATTGAGCAATGAAGATACGAGTTATGGGTGTCTTGTATCTTTTGACTAAGATACCTTAGGGTGACTTCAAACTCTAGCTCTAGCTCTAACTGAGATTAAAAGAGATAATAAAATTAAGTTAGTTAGCAGCCCAGAAGTATTACATAAATATTTCCCAAAAAAAGCTACTAAAAGTTGTAAAGTAAATATGTAGTATCTATGTAAATATGTATCTATAGATACATTTATGAGATGGATTCCTAAAATGAATCTTTTTATCTTTTTATAGCTATCCTAAACTGATTACTATAATCGAAAAAGAATTTTTAAATAAAATATTATTTACCAGGAACTAATAACTATATTCCTTGTGGGTTTTTAAGAAATCTCTATATGGATCACTTAGTTAAGATACTTAGTTAGTAAGTTAAGATACTTAATCTTTTTCGCATATCAGGGTAACACCTTTCAGTTTAAAGGTTGCTGCAATGTCAGCAGCCACGTTGATAGCCAGACAGCTCCTTGCTGCTGCTGCTTAGCATTCCAGTCAGAAGTCGGATAGAACCTATAGAGCGGACGACTCCCATGCCAATTGTTGCTGTGTGCAAGAATTTCATTTATGTCAACAACAAAAGCAAAAGCAACAAAGACAAGTGCAGCAACAAAGAAACGGTAAACACGCCCAAGAAAGCTGAGGAGCTCATTTATGGAAATTATTAAGTGCAAGCCAAGTGACCAAAGTGGTTGCTTCTCCCAGTCAAACAGCATTATTATGCGTACACATTTTTATGGGCAAGTGCCGGAATGGGCACACAAACGGGCTGCTTAAGTGTTAATAACCGAAATCTAATTAAATTAGGTTCCAACTTTATAAAACCATTAAAGCCAGAGGAGCTTTAAAGACATGGAGAACTTATTACATTTAACCTCAGGTTCTATTATTGTCATTTTCACCTCTAAGTTCAAACGAGGTACGTTTAAGCTGGCAAAGGTGTGAAACCACAAGGAATTCCCGTACTTGAAGACCTTGAAAATTGTCTTGTCACTTAATAAAAGTATGACCTTTATATATCTGACTAGATATACTCTTCTAAAGGCTCCTTATACAAGGGTATATTAACTTATGTACTGTTCATAACCCAGTTGGCCTTGGTTATTGCAACTTTGATTCTGCGCATCTTTCAATTGATCTTAATTAATGTTAATTTTATTTTATGTGTTCTCTTTATTGTCTGCTCTTTGCCATTCACTAGAATGCTTATTCATATCGTACATATGTGAAATATCCATAACCATAACCAAGCTTTTTAACTCATATTACTTTAAGCATAGCCACAAAGTGCCAAGATTATTTATTACATGCCGAGGATATTCCTGCATAGTTTTATAGTTGAGTAAGGTTAGTTTCACTTTAAATATTAAAGCCCTTTAACGCCTTGCTGAATTTCACTACAAAACCGCAACCTACTCTCACAGGACCTGGACCTTATAAATACAACTTCCCTGAGCAAAAGTAGACACAGAACACCTTTAAAATGGAACCAGTGCAGTACAGCTACGAGGATTTTTCTCGATTTCCCGCTGCAGTCTTTTGGATGATGGGTTACGATGTGCTTGGTGTTCCAAAGACCCGATCCCAGAGGATACTATATCGACTGTATCGCTTTCTGTGCCTAGCCAGTCACAGCGTCTGCGTGGGATTCATGATATTTCGAATGGTTGAAGCTAAAACCATTGACAACATACCGCTGATCATGCGTTATAGTACTCTGGTAACATATGTCATCAACTCGGATACTAAATATGCCACCGCCATGCAACGCGTTGCCATCCAAAGTTTGAACTCCAAACTGGCCTCAATTTATCCGAAGACCACGCTGGACAGGATATATCATCGGGTGAACGACCACTATTGGTCGAAGTCATTCGTATACTTAGTTATCATTTACATTGGCTCGTCGATCATGGTTGTCATCGGTCCGATTCTTACGTCGATTATATCTTATTTTACCCATCATGGATTTACCTACATGCACTGCTATCCCTACTTTATATTTAATCCTGAAAGGCATTCGAAGTGGATCTACTTGGCAATTTATGTTCTGGAATGGCTGCATAGCACTCAAATGGTCATCTCGAATATCGGCGCGGACATCTGGCTGATTTACTTTCAGGTCCAGATAAATCTCCATTTCAGGGGCATTATACAATCGTTGGAGGATCACAAGCCCAGTGTGGAGAACGATTATGAGGATAGACAGTTCCTGGCGAAAATTGTGGATAAGCAAGTTTACCTTGTCAGGTAAGACAAAAATAATATTCCATTTTTCATTTGCAATTTTTCTTTACATTCCCCAATAGTATGCAAAACGATTTGAATCAGATTTTTGGAGGATCTCTGCTTTTGAGCCTGCTGACCACCGCAGCGGTTCTCTGCACAGTGGCGGTGTACACCCTGCTTCAGGGAGTCTCTTTGGAGGGCTGTACCTATGTCATTTTCATCGGGACTTCGGTTATGCAGGTGTACTTGGTGTGCTATTACGGTCAGCAAGTCCTGGATTTGGTGGGTTATTGTAGGGATCTTAAGTTTTCTCAATAACTAATATTCCTTGCAGAGTGCCCAGGTGGCCCATGCCGTGTACAATCATGACTTTCACAACGCGTCTATAGCTTATAAAAAGTACCTGCTGATAATTATTATAAGAGCACATCAACCCGTGGAATTGAGTGCCATGGGTTACCTGCCCATATCGCTGGACACCTTTAAACAGGTAGGATATGTGCTAATCCTGTGTTTATCCCATACAATATTTGGTTTTCCTTTCAGTTGATGAGCGTGACTTACCGGGTTATGACCATGCTTAGGCAGATGATTCAGTAGAGGGCAATAAAAGCACGGATTTAGCAACTTTAGCCACGCTTTAATCGCACTACGCTAGCAACTACATAACTAGGATCTACACAGATCACCATCACTTGGGATCCGAGGGCAGCTTGAAGCCCACCAAGTCGGCGGTATCCCTTACGGATCTCTCGCCCCTCCCGTGGAATTCCTTGTAGAGCTCCAGGTACTGGCGCTGGCTGGCCAAGTAGGTCAAGTAAGTCTGCCCCAGGAAGGTGGCTTCACTGCGGGCCTTGCAGACCTGCTGTTCCGTGGTTGCAAACTTCTTGTATTGCGCCAAAACGTAGCGTGCCGCTAGCGAGTCCTTGATGCAACCATTTGGAGAGGATTGGCGCAGTTCGTGGAGCAGGGAGCGCAGCACCTTTGTTCCCGACATCCTGTACAAGAAATAACAATCGTAGTTTCAAGAAAAACCAAACAATCAGCAACTTACGTGATTTTTCAAGAAGATTCGAAGTGTTTCTGCCAAACAGCTGATTTCTGCAGAGTTGCCACCCTGGTTAACTTGTCAAAACATACAGTGATCACTCTAAGCAGAGAAGTTAACAGAAAGGCAAACATTTTGATTGCATTGTTTTTTCGCGACTAAATCATTTAAATAGTAAAGAAATTTTTTTTATAGGACTACAAAATTAAATTGTTAACAAAAATAAATATGTATGCTAAAACTGCAATTTTTATTTATATTATTAAAGAAAGAAATCACGACTTTTATGCTTAAAAACTAAAGATTGACTAAGAAAATTGTTTGTAAAATGTTATTTACGATGGATAAGAATACCATTCGATTTCCCATTAGCTACCTTTTCTCTTTCATTTTTTGAGATATACAACCCTTTCTTACCTATTCTAAAATTAGAATAATTTTATACAATCAACCCAACACAATTCGGTTATCCAAAACAAATTGGAAGATTAGCACATTTTCTAGATAAGGCCCTTTGACTGAAACGAGCACTTTAGGTTGTAGCCTGTTTTACCAAAACATCTTTTAAACAGGTTTTCTTTTACATTTGGAGGATTTGATTGCTAACCTTCCAATTGGGAGGACTATGCCTCCAATAAGAAGCTAGACATAGACTAGAAAACAAATAATACAACGTGAAGCAACAAATCCGATTGGAAAAACAGTTTATTTTAAAAGTTATTTAGCAGTACACCGAACTCGTAGCGGGGGCTGTTCACTTCCTGGGCTTTCCGGCGGCTGGCTTCTGGCCGGGCTTCTTGCCAGCGACTCCCTTGCCGCCTGGACCACCCTTGGTGACCTTGCCGGCGCCGGCCTTGGTGCCCTTGGCTCCGGCAGCTGGCTTCTTCTTGGGATCGGGCTTGGCCTTGGGGGCCTTCACCGGCTTGACGAGCGCCTCACGCTGGCTCTTCAGGGCCTTGACGATCTTCTGCTCCTCGATGAGGAAGGCGCGCACGATGCGCTCGCGCAGGCAGCTGTGGCACAGGACTCCTCCGTAGGTCCTCGACACGGTCTTCAGGCGCTTGGACATCCTGGGACGCTCGCTGGGACGGGAGGGGGTGATACCCTTCAACTTCTCCTTGCACTGGCCGCAACGGGGCACGGTCTTGTTCTTCTTCACATACTGGTACACAAGACGTCCACCAGGCGTGCGAACACTATAGGAAAGATCAAATATTAATACACTGGGATATCCGTGGAGCACTTTGGTAGTTACATGCGGCGCTTGTTGGAGCGTGTGTTGTAGGACAGGCGTCTCCGGAGCGTCAGACGTTGGACCATTTTGCTGTTGTTGCTGCTGGTCGTGGCGATTCGTCGGTTACATATGCAAAAGCGTGGAAAATCATTATTAGTCGGGTGTATCACTGGGGTGGGTGCAGTTTTGGCTGCATTTGGTCGTATATTTCATGGGGTATTTCACACATTGCGGCGAATTTCTGTGAAATTGTAAATTGAACACGTGCATACCTCAAAGAGACGAAACTAGAAAGAAAGGTGGCAACTCTGCTGCCGAGCGACGTGAACTTGGCTGCGCTGCTGGCTGAGCGGCACTTTTCAGCACTGAAGGGGCTGCCAGACTGTCTTAATAACAGGGGCCTAGAAGGGGTACTTTATACAAAAGGGGATTAAAATAAGAAATATAAACATAATTAAGTGAACATAAAATCCAGGACTTAAAGAAAAATAGTTATCATTATGCAAAAATAATAATTACATATTTATTTATACTTTGGGCATATTCTCATGCACTTTAGATGGTATTACCAACATATTTTTGGATCTAGATTAACTAATACTTTAGAATATTATTTTATAACCTAATCTATAGCTAGTCACCAAAAACAAAGACTAGTTATTTACTTCCAAAATATATTTGTGTGTCCCCTTTTCACAACGCCCCTGCCATCACCTGTTGTTGGTTTGTTTGTGGTGCAAACTGTTATCAAACCGCAAACAGATAACATTTAATTGCAGCAAAATGAGCAAAGCCAGCAATAGTAAGTGTTTTAGTGACCCTAAAGAAGTTCTAGTTAAATAATCCTGATTTGATTCCATCATAGTCATGCGATTGGCGCTACTGCAACTAAAAGGTTCCAAGGACAAGGCGGCCAATGTCCAAAATGCCGCCAGCAAAATAGAAGCGGCGGTCAAGGAGCACAGCCCTCGATTGATCACCTTGCCCGAGTGTTTCAACGCCCCCTACGGTACCAAGTACTTCCGGGAATACTCCGAGAGCATCCCCGACGGCTACACCTCGCAGCAGCTCTCCAGTCTGGCCAAGAAGCACCAGGTTTACATCGTCGGCGGAACTATTCCGGAACTGGGCGAAAACGATGCCATCTACAACACCTGTACGGTCTGGTCACCCACTGGTGAACTGGTGGCCAAGCACCGCAAGATGCATCTCTTCGATATTGATGTCAAGGGCGGCATTCGCTTTAAGGAGTCGGAAACCCTTTCCGCTGGCAATGACTTCACCACCATCGACATTGATGGCCACAAGATCGGCATCGGCATCTGCTACGACATCCGATTCGAGGAGATGGCCAGGCTATATCGGAACGCAGGCTGCGAGATGATCATCTATCCGGCTGCCTTCAACATGACCACCGGTCCTCTTCACTGGGAACTCCTGCAGCGATCTCGCGCCAATGACAACCAGCTGTTCGTTGTCACCACTTCGCCAGCCAGAGATCCAAGCGCCGAGTATGTGGCCTTCGGTCACTCCATGGTAGTGGATCCCTGGGCCAAGGTGCAGCAGACTGCCAGCGAAGGCGAGGAAACTGTGGTGGCCGATATCGACTTTTCCCTGGTGGAGCAAGTGCGTCAGCAAATTCCCGTCTTTGGCCAACGTCGCCTGGATCTGTATGCCACCGAACGGAAGACCAAGTAAAGGATATGCTTATCTAACTCTTCGAGAATCTTTGTTTTTAACCACGAAATGAATGTTATGTTAGCATTTATGTTTATCGATTGTATATAAAATTTATTAGACCTAAACACATGTCACACTGATTTCTTAAGATGGCTAACTATTGCTGTTTATCTGGTTGTGGATTATCGGTAGGAGCCACCTCCGTGGCAACTGATTGCACATAGTGGGGGCGCTGGGCCTGGTCGAAAAGAGCTCGTATGGCTTCATCGGTGGCCATCAAGGGCTGACTAATGAATTCCAAGGCCTTGTGGAAGATAAGCAATAGAAACAATCAATGAGAATGCAAATAAGAAAGCAATGAATCTATTATCTTTCCACACTCACCCTGACTGCATACTTTTCCGCCTCGCAAAGTGGACTCGTGCTGGCACTGGACAACTTCAGCGTCTCTTCGGGAATGCCCACGCCCGTGTGCAGGACCATGCGTTGGAGGATATTCAAGTTCTCGGCACTCAAACTGATCACATCGGTGGCGGGCAGGTTCAAAAAGCGAATCTTGGCCAGGAACTTCAGCTGCTTCAGCATATCCAGCTGAATCTCGCGGATCTGGTGGGTGGCGTGCAGCAGCTGCTTGGTGGACTCGTTAAGTAGTTGATTCTTCTGGGTGAGATCTGCCTTCCAGCGGGCTAACTCCTCGACCATAACGCTGCTGGCGAGAAATTTGGAACGCCAGACCTCACATTGCCCGGCCAAGAACTCAATCTGCTCTGTGTGGGTGGTCAGGTTGTTGGCGGTATCCAGGAGCGCCCTGGCCAGCTGCAGTTTGTCCTCGGTGAGCACATTGACCCGTGTCTGCAGATCCTCGCCCACGGAGGCCACCAACAGGCTCTTTAGCTCGCTGTTAACCTGCGTTTGGAACTTGTACTGCGCTTGGAAGTAATCTCGCTCCCCACGCATCTTGGCCAGCTCCTCCTGCAGAGCGATTAACTCCTGGTTGCTGGCTGTGCTGGTTTCCTTAATATCCTTCGGCTCCGTGTCCAATTCCTGGGTGCGCAACGTGGACACCTGATCCACCAGCACTGCAATGTCCAGGTTGTTCTTGTCCCGATGGATTTTGTGTTTGCTTGTTGGCTCAGAGATCATGGGATTCACCGCACCTGGATACGGCTCAAAGGGCACGAACTTGGGGGCCTTGGTCTTCTTGTGTTCGGGCAGGATTTCCGGGTTGGTGACCAGTCTTGGCCGCATCTGGACCAATTCACCCTTGGGCAGGACGGGCGCCAAACTTCGGGTTACAATTTCGGGGCGTCTGTAAAGTGTGTGCAGGCCGGGAAGGGGCAGATTGGAGGCGTGGCCACCGCTGGCTGAAGTCTTCCTGCCCATTACAGCCTCCTGGACAATGGTACTGTCTTTTCGCGACAATTGGGGCCTCTTGGCCTTGGTGTCCACATCAGCACTGGTCTGGATTTCACTCTCTGTTTTGATTGCCGCACTGTTCTCCGGCTGCTCCATGCCATCGCCACTGGTGCGACAATCCGGAGATTTGTCCACCCTTGCTGACGTGCCATCCGCTTCCATGCTTGACAGTGTTGGCCAGGCCAATCTAAATTTTCTAAATTAAATTCAAGAATTTCTCTGGTTGTGCCAGCAAAACAAAAACAAATGGCGAAGGGCTGCCAACTCGCTGCATGGTACGCCTATGTAGGTACACTTTTTAACTCGGCTAGGTACACAAAATGATTTAGGAGCTGTGAAAATGGTTACTTATTTGTGTAACTTCATTCTGTAACTATGTTTAACACTTAGTTTGGATAAACTCCTGTTAACCTACGATTTTCAAAGTTCCCATCTTTCCAGCGGAATTTCGAAATAAAATAGTCAAAGTTGGCAAAATGGTTGTATATGAAAAATAACTGTGATTAAATAAAAATGGTCTGTTTTTAAGATATGCTTCTACCAATATTTGCTAAACCAAATCGTTTTTATGAAACCGCCGATATCTTGTAAAATATCGATTCATTGCCATACATCGAAACCAAGAAAACATCGATTCGCGTTGCATCGACGTTTTCTCACATCACTACGATTGATTGACTTGACTGCAAAATAAAACAAATAAATAGACGTGCTGCGAAGAAGAGGACTACCTGGTACCGGCGATACGAAGAGACCGCTTCCGCCGCCCCCAACCACCCCCGGCCACGCCCCTTGTCCGCCCGTGGAGCGCCTTCGACGAAGGATGTCCGCTGTGGAGGCCGAGGTGCTGCAGAAAATCGATCTGATTGAGCCCACGACCGGAAAATTGTTTTTCGAGCACAAAACGGAGCTGCTTTTCTGCCGGCCCCATCTGATGCCGCTGAAGACGCAGGCGCTGGAACGTCTGGAGGAAATGCATCGGGACACCGCCCGGCAATTGCAGAAGAAGCGCCACCAGCAGAAGTCCACGGAGCCCACTGGCTCGCTATGAACAACTAGTCCTTACTTTCGAAATCACAGTCGTCATAAGCACACTCACTAAAAAGCACAAGAACCCAGCACTTTAGCACCTGGATTAGGATAAGGATTCGGCACGATGGCCTACCTACTGAGCTTCGGCATCGTGGCCGCCCTGTTCCTGGCCAGCATCTCACTGTATCGCTACGGGAACATACCACGTCAGCACATCCTGGTCACCTTGTCCGTGCTGACCGCCTGGTGCTTCTCCTTCTTGATCGTATTCTCCATCCCGCTGGATGTAACATCGGTGAGTAGGGATGTGGAGATCTTAAGACTAAATAGCAGGAATTTTACTTATCATACAAATACTTGTGACCTTCCATATGGTGTATCGTCATATATCCTTGCAGTCCTAATCCGCCCGATCCTGTTTCCAGCTCCTATTTATGTTAGTGAAAGATTTAAACCAGAGCAGCTTACGTAAAATACTAATTTTATAACAGACAGATTTCCTTGCAATCTTATAGTGAAAATTCAGATACCTTAAAAGGGTGGAATTATTTAAAAACACGTTTCGATCGTTATAAAACCGCCTTTAAATATACATTTTCAAATCAGCACATTTTTTACTACGCCTCGATGATTTCTTTTATTTGTCTGTACGATATTTAAGCATTGTTTAAATAAAAAAGATTGTTTTGTTTTTACAGTGAAAACAGAAAATAATTAATTTGTTATCTATAGCTTTCCAGACACCAATCAAATTGTGATTAATTTTCTGCATTGATTTTCGTTCGGAATTTCTTATCTTTCAATGAATCACCCCTAAAGCTAGAACAAAAAATTCGGGATTTCCTCTATGCTTTGTTTGTACTTAAATGCGTACTAAACCTAATAATTTTCATTTCAGACCCTGTATCGCCAGTGCGTGGAGGAGCACCGACCGACCCCAGCCCCGAATGCGACCAATACGTCGGCCGCCAATGCAATTCCGCCGCCTCAGTGCCAGGAGCCGTGGGGCATGGTCCCAGCCTCCGTGTTCCCCAACTTGTGGCGTATTATATACTGGAGCTCGCAGTTCCTCACCTGGTTGATCATGCCGCTGATGCAGTCGTACCTCAAAGCGGGCGACTTTACAGTCAAGGGCAAACTAAAGTCGGCGCTTATCGAGAATGCCATCTACTACGGATCCTACCTTTTCATCTGCGGCGTACTCCTCATCTATATAGCTGTGAAAGGGGAGTCTCTGGATTGGCAAAAGCTGAAAGCAATCGCTTCGTCGGCTTCAAACACCTGGGGTTTGTTCCTGCTAATCCTGCTTCTGGGCTACGCTCTGGTGGAGGTACCTAGGTCGCTTTGGAACAATGCCAAGCCGGGATTTGCGTTGCAATACGCCTACTTTAAGGCGGCCAAACTGAGCACGGAAAAGGCGGAGGCCGAGGAGCATGTGGATGATATTCTGGAGTCGCTGCAAGGCCTCAGCCGAGTTATTCCGAACAATCATGAGCTGCGCCCCTGCTTGGAAACTATCATGCGCAAAGTTCCCATCGAGCTGCAGGAGCGGGCGAGCCGCAACTTTGCACGCACCGGTGGCAGCGGCATGGGAGCCACTAGCTCCACCATCTTGCCCTCGGAGAAGGCGCTGGTTCGCATTCATAAGCAAGTAATCAAATCTCTGCAAACACTGCAGCGCACCGAAGCGCTGTGGAGCGTGCAGGTGCAGACGGTTTTGCACCTTGAGGATGTGGCCAAGAATATTCACTCTTCGGAACGGCGCTTCAAGTCGGAGTTTCCGCGCCAGCGCACACAGCTGGAGAGGATCTGTTACAGCGCCACTCTGCAGTGGTACTGGGAGTGTCTATTGAAAGCCCCGTTCTTGAAGGCCATGTGCGTCCTGACCGCCACCATGTCCGCTATGGTGGTGTGGAGTGAGCTTACCTTCTTCAGCCGTCGCCCTGTGCTCTCCATTTTCGCCAACGTGATCTATGTGGCCAAGGAGAGCTACGACTTCTTCACCATCGAGGTCTTTTCTATGGTTGTTCTCTGCTACTTCTTCTATTGCACCTACTCCACGATATTGAGGATTCGGTTTCTGAACCTGTACTATCTGGCACCGCATCACCAGACCAACGAGCACAGCCTGATCTTCAGTGGCATGCTACTCTGCCGCCTGACGCCACCCATGTGCCTGAACTTCCTGGGTCTAATCCACATGGACACTCACATTATACCCAATGTGAGTATTCTATATTCTTTGCCAAGTCTACGATTACTTATACCTTTACTTTCTTAACGCGCAGCGTATTATGGAGACGGTCTACACGCAGATCATGGGCCACATGGACGTTATCGGCATCATCTCGAATGGCTTTAATATCTACTTCCCAATGTGCATGCTGGCTTTCTGCCTGGCCACCTGGTTTAGCCTTGGCAGTCGGGCCCTGAATGCTCTCGGCTTTCAGCAGTTCCTGCAGAACGAAACGATTGCCACCGAGCTGGTACAGGAGGGAAAGGATCTTATAGCTCGGGAAAAGCGCCGGCGGCAGCGCGCTGAGGAGGCGATGGCCAGGAGACGCGACGTCAACCGAACTGACCAGGTTCTAGGCAGCGATTACTTGAGCAAATATCGGAGTGGAGGGCCTGGTGGGCTGGCCAGCAGTCGCACTCCCGCGGACGGACTGCTCCGCGATGGCGACGGTAGCTTTGACTATGCGGCGGTGGCCTCCTCCTCTGCCCTAGGCGTTCCACGATCCCTGTCCGAGGAGATCAACGATCGGTTCGGAGTGAGCACCCAGGTGCAGGTGGGATTCCGGGACCCGGACTACGAGGCGGAGCACGATGGCCGCATTGTGGGACCGCCGCCGCGAGGACTCTTTGACGATGTCTAGGCTCGAAATATGGATATCTCTTTATTTCAATTCGTAACCGAGTATCTCAATGTCTGCAATGTTCCACAGTATTTATATATTTCGTTCGTGCTTAAGTATTTCCCGCTGCCACTGCTGCTGCTGTTCCACACCTATGTATGTACACTATTCGATTGAATAAACCACTAGAAAGGATTCTTGAATAGTTTACCAATGTCCTGGTCAACGTCGGTGCCAACGTCCTGGGCAGCTGGCTGGGATTCCGGTTTCGACGAGGATTCCAGCTTCGTTGAGTGTTTCTCGGATTTTTCTGCCTTTGCAAGCTTCATCAATTGAGATATTGGATGCGGATTAATGCGTTTGCGGCTGCGCAGATAGCCACATCGTGAGGTAAGCGGCGTTTTGGGCGAATACATCGTTCTGCCTTTTCTCTAATTGCACACTAGAATCAACTGTCGCTTGTCTGGGAAAACTAGACCGTTTTGTTTGACAATATAATGACAAAGAAAATTTAAAAGGATTGCCACTATAATCATTGGAAGTTGTATTTTAAATTAATTTAATAGAAATCACGTGACCGTTTTTAAAAAAATGGGACTGATCATGATTGATTTTCGCTCATAATAACCCTTTTAAAATGTAACGCGAATTCTTTAGACCACGTAGTACAAAAATTCGATGGACATTGATGTAAATGAGTTAACAAAATGTTTATTTGTAAACCTAGAATACACAGCAATTGCAACAAGAGTTTAAGAAAGGGGAAAGCCTGTGTGTGTGGTTAGCAAGTGTTAATGGGTAAAATCTCGAAAAAATCCCAATAGGAAATATGTACAATCGACAAAGCTTTAAATGAGAATGGTGCCAGCCGCAAAACAGTGAAATGTGTTCCATTATTAGTGGTCGTCAGCCAGCTTTTGGTGTTATATGTTGGTTTGAGTCCTTGTGTAGATAGTGTAGTGAAACGAACTCCTTATTCATCGCCGCCACCCTCTTCGTCCTCATCGAATTCGCCCTCCTCGTCGGCAGTGGCCTCCTGGTACTGCTGGTACTCGGAGACCAGATCGTTCATGTTGCTCTCAGCCTCCGTGAACTCCATCTCGTCCATTCCCTCGCCGGTGTACCAATGCAAGAAGGCCTTCCTCCTGAACATGGCCGTGAACTGCTCCGAGACGCGCTTGAAGAGCTCCTGAATGGCCGTCGAGTTGCCAATGAAGGTGGCCGACATCTTTAGACCCCGAGGCGGAATATCGCACACCGCCGTCTTGCAATTGTTCGGGATCCACTCCACGAAGAAGCTGCTGTTCTTGTTCTGGATATTCAGCATCTGCTCGTCCACCTCCTTCATGGACATGCGCCCACGGAAAATGGCGGCGACGGTTAGGTAGCGACCATGACGCGGATCACAGGCAGCCATCATGTTCTTGGCATCGAACATCTGCTGGGTCAGCTCTGGAACAGTCAAAGCCCGATACTGCTGGGATCCACGGGAGGTAAGTGGAGCGAACCCAGGCATGAAGAAGTGCAGCCGGGGGAAGGGCACCATGTTCACCGCCAGCTTGCGCAGATCGGCGTTCAGCTGGCCGGGGAATCGCAGGCAGGTCGTAACCCCAGACATGGTGGCCGAAACCAGATGGTTCAGGTCACCATAGGTGGGAGTGGTCAACTTCAGAGTACGGAAGCAGATGTCATACAATGCTTCGTTGTCGATGCAGTAGGTCTCATCCGTGTTCTCCACCAGCTGGTGCACACTCAAGGTGGCGTTGTAGGGCTCCACCACGGTATCCGACACCTTGGGCGAGGGCACCACCGAGAAGGTGTTCATGATGCGGTCGGGGTACTCCTCGCGAATCTTGGAAATCAGCAGGGTTCCCATTCCGGAGCCGGTACCGCCACCCAGCGAGTGGGTCAGCTGGAAACCCTATAAAGAAAATAGTATATTTCTTAAAATCATGATCTCAACAACCCTGTCAATTTTACATCATTCAAAAATTAAATTGCACCTAAAGTACGTCTGTAAATGGTACAGCAGCTTAAAAAATTGTGCCGCTGCACCGTTTTCAACCAATTCTAATAATGCCGCCCTTCATATCCCTACTGTGACAAGGAACCCAATCTTTCTGGGGGACCTTCTTAACCCTCTACTTACCTGCAGGCAATCGCATCCCTCCGACTCCTTTCGCACCACATCCAGAACAGAGTCCACCAGTTCGGCTCCCTCTGTATAATGACCCTTGGCCCAGTTGTTACCAGCACCCGACTGTCCAAAGACAAAGTTGTCCGGTCGGAAGATCTGGCCAAAGGCGCCGGATCGCACCGAATCCATGGTGCCGGGCTCAAGGTCCACCAGGATGGCCCGTGGAACATACTTGGCACCGGTGGCTTCATTGTAGTACACATTAATGCGCTCCAGCTGCAGATCACTGTCCCCGTAATACGTTCCGGTGGCATCTATGCAATGCTCATCCGAGATAACCTCCCAGAATTTACCACCGATCTGGTTACCGCATTGTCCGGCCTGAATGTGCACGATTTCACGCATCTTAACCGACTGTCAAGGATCAATGGTTGAAAAACCGATTTTAAGAAAAAAAAATTTCAACAAAAAGTTGATAAAAACCGAGTTTTTTTTTAGCACTCTGAGGGGGGCAAAAACCGGCGGAAGACTGAATATTTTAACGTATAATTTTTCAGGTTTTTATTCTACACGTGTACTTGCTAGCTGTTACTGGGGTGGACTGAGGCTGTTAAGGAATACGTCTGGGAAGGTTATTAGCCTGCCTACTACGATCCAAGTATTTGAAATATTTTGCTTTACCAAATTAAAGATATGTCAGTTCAAGGGTTTTGAGCACAAACTTTAATAGAGTACTTAGTACAACCAGTATACAGATAAAATTTGAGATGGGATGAGGTTGGCGGTGCTGTAGAACCAATAGATTCTACTGCTACCAGCCAGATGATACGATTAATATTGACATGGGTGTTTCGGAGATTCCTCCTTTGTAAATGTGTATATGCAATACATATTATGTAAATGGGTGTATAATGGGATGGGTCGATTATTATGGTTAATGAAGACTGGAAAAGTACTTAACAAATTTTAACGGCTTTTTCCAATTCCTTTAGAAGGTATTTAAAATATAAATGATCTTAAAATTTCCTACAAATTTCATAACGCTTCTATAATTCTTATCCAAAATAATCGACCCATCCTTGTGTAAATATCTACGTAGGAAAGGTTCGTCTAACAACCAATGTTTTGGGTTGGCGGCGGTTGGGTCTCTAAAGGATTGTATCTATAATGTGGCTATCCTTTGGCTCTGGCTCCTACATGGTGGAGTCCCACAGCTGGCTATACGGATATCAGACGGAAGCGCGCTTTAGGCACAAAGTGCTCTCAATGATATCCGTGGGCTGAAAGTCCGGATCGACGAACTGCTCATGGTTGAGGCACCTTGTGCCGCCCATGCAGGTGCAGGAGCATAGAGAAGCGGTCTCGTCATTCTCGGTTGTATAGTTATTCTCCAGCAATTTGCCATGCATATTGTAGGTGGACTCATCATCGAAGGTCACTGGCTGGGCATTTCCAGCCAAGTTTTGGGCATCCTGCTCATCTCTCTTAGCATCCTCGGCTTGCCTGAGATTTAAAAAACAATTAAATTAAGTTTCTTCCTCCATAAAATAAAACTCACATGGTCATGAAGCGCAGCACCAACAGATTAATACTGGCTGCAACTACGGCCAGGCCGAAAAGGATGAAGACCAAGCTTAGGGCCACATATCCAGGTTTATTAGTTAAGGCCTGATCATTTTGCAATGCCACATAGTCCCCGAATCCAATGGTGGTCAAGGTGACGAAGCAGTAGTAGAAGCTATCAAAGTAGCTCCATCCCTCGTACCGGGAAAATACTGCTGCTCCTGTGGTTATAATTATGGAGGAGAGCATTCCGGTGGCCAACATAAGATTCATCTCGGTGGCATCCGTACATCGGGCTCCACTGGCCCTCTTTGCCCGCCTTATGATAACTGATGCAAATTTATTAAGACGTTCACCGATCGATTGGAACATCACCAGTCCTAGAGGGATGCCTACCTATAGAAGGAGATCTTTATTAGATGGTAATTGAAGATGGGATTAGACTTACCATGGCATAACCCATACAAAATGCTTTTCCCGGAATGGTGACTGGTGTGGAATGGCCATACCCTACAAATTACAAGATCATAACAGAATACCTAAAGTAAAATCTATAAGAATAATAAATATAGTAAATTACCTATCATAGCCAGGACAACAGTGCTAAAATAAAAAGCTCCAGCAAATTTCCATTGCGGTCCAGCCTTGTGTGGTTTGTTTTCAATGATAACAATTTCCATCACCTAGTAAAAAACAAATTTAAACTAGTCTTAACTATTTAAGTAAACGTAAAGGTAGTGAGATTTACCCGGAAATCTTCGTCGCTGACATTGTACTTCTTCACAAAGTTGTTCTTAACGGCTGTAATCGAAAAATAATAAGATAAAATCAGGATGAGGCTCTATTAGGGCTCTTACCCTGTAAGAACTCCCATCTTTTTGCTTCGGTTGGGGATTCTAATGAATCGAAGACTGCGGCTCCAATTAGGAGGTAGGTAAAAGTGCATACCACCAGGGAAAGAGTTCGAACATTCTGACGCTTCATTATGGAGATGGTGTATTATAATTGTTTTGAAAAGATATCTCTTTTGGAATCCTTTCCACTGGCGCCTTTTCCGTTCTGGCAAAGATGCTGCTTCTGACAAAATCAATAATTGCCAGCAAAACAAACACACAGCATCCACAGAAATTTGTGAATCCTTCTACCAAGGATCAGTAAGAAGTGAACTGATAAACTTTTTTACTTTTTACATTTTTAAAACATTTTAAAAAGCTCTTTAACAACTGTCAATGGTGAGAAGTCCCTTAATCCTTTTTTTTAGATGATAATGTAGCCGTTATTACACAGCAGAAGCAACAGAGTTTGCTGGCGTTGCCACTTGGCTGTCCCTGTTAGATAACATAACATTAACATTCCTCGAAACTTTACAGTTACAGTAACAGTACTTTACACTTTACCCTACATTTTAGAGTATTCGTTTTTACGGGCAATGAAGTTAATACACTTAATTTTATTATTAATGAATATATTTTAATATATATTTTCTGTAACTATTTAAATCTTAATAAAATTGTTATTACACTGAAATGAAAGCTAAGAATAATGGTATTAATTTTTTGATTAAACAAATATATTTTTGAAAACTACTTTTATTTTTAATATATTGAAATACGTTACTTTCCTTGGTTTCTTAACCACTTTTAACATTTCCGAAAAACCAGCCGAGTTGGCAGCGCCGATAGGTGTGCAAACAATCGAAAACAAGAAAACCTATCGCCAGTTCCAATTTGTTTATGCGAAAAAAACCACGCAAGTAGCAAGCGATTGGATTGTTGCAGTAGGCTGCTGTGTCTGTGACGTCGACTTTTCCATGCTTAATTAACCGGAAAATGTTGCGCATACGTCGACGCTTCGCTTTGGTCCTCTGCTCCGTCTGCCTGCTGGTTTTCCTCAGCCTGTACGTGATCCTAAACTTTTCGGCGCCGGCAGCCAACCAAAAAAGGGTAAATAAATGATGCTTTATCCAGTCCCAGTGAATAATAAACCCCTCTGGTTTCTCAGCCCAACTATGAGAACATAGAAAACAAACTGCAACAACTGGAAAATGGCCTGCAGGAGCACGGCGAGGAGATGCGAAATCTGAGGGCCCGACTGGCCAAGACAGCTAAACGGGAGGAGCCGATTAGGGCTCCACACAAAGAGGCCCGGACTCTGAGGCCAGGACAATGCCAGGATGTGGTCCAGGATGTGCCCAATGTAGAGGTTCAGATGCTGGAGCTATACGATCGCATGTCCTTCAAGGACATAGATGGAGGTGTGTGGAAGCAGGGATGGAACATCAAGTACGATCCCCTGAAGTACAACGCCCATCACAAACTCAAAGTCTTCGTGGTGCCGCACTCGCACAACGATCCCGGATGGATCCAGACCTTTGAGGACTACTACCAGCACGACACTAAGCACATCCTGTCCAACGCCCTCCGGCATCTGCACGAGAACCCCGAGATGAAGTTTATCTGGGCGGAGACCTCGTACTTTGCCCGATTCTACCACGATCTGGGCGAGAACAAAAAGCTCCAGATGAAGTCGTACGCACTCCCTTTAAATATAATACAATGAGTTTTGCTTACAAAGTAACGTAAAGCCGGTACTTAAACTTTAAACAGTTGGTATGGGCAACAATGTATTGCAACCGTTTGCTTAAACAGAATGGCACGAGCTGCTTGTTTAGTCATTTCGCATAGCAATATAGATTAGTGCTTATCTACAGAGGTTTGCTTTAAAAATTTATTGAAATACGTATGTTTTCTACAGAAACTCACAATGAGTGTACAAACAATAAGCTTATATATGCGGAATACAAACGTTTGAATCTGATAAGCTCATTCTTTAGCAAAAAATATGTTTTGGGAAAACAATGCAAAGATAGCTTGCAAAATTTACATCTATTAATGCATACAATTAAATTAATTATGTTTCCTTTTCAGCATCGTGAAGAGTGGACAACTGGAATTTGTTTCCGGCGGATGGGTGATGCCGGACGAGGCCAACTCCCACTGGAGGAACGTGCTGCTGCAGCTGACCGAGGGTCAGACCTGGCTGAAGCAGTACCTAAATGTCACGCCGACTGCCTCCTGGGCGATCGATCCATTTGGCCACAGCCCGACCATGCCGTACATCCTGCAAAAGAGCGGCTTCAAGAACATGCTCATCCAGCGGACGCACTATTCGGTGAAGAAGGAGCTGGCCCAGCAGCGCCAGCTGGAGTTCCACTGGCGCCAGATCTGGGACAGCAAGGGGGACACGGCTCTCTTCACCCACATGATGCCCTTCTACTCGTACGATATTCCTCACACTTGTGGTCCGGATCCCAAAGTGTGCTGCCAGTTTGATTTCAAGCGCATGGGAGCCTTCGGATTAAGTTGTCCCTGGAAGGCACCACCGCGAGCCATTGTGGATGGGAATGTGGCGTTCCGATCAGATCTGCTGGTGGATCAGTGGAAGAAGAAGGCCGAACTGTATCGTACGAACGTCTTGCTGATTCCCTTGGGCGACGACTTCCGCTTCAAGCAGAACACCGAGTGGGATGTGCAGCGCGTGAACTATGAGAAGTTGTTCGAGCACATCAACAGCCAGGCGCACTTTAATGTGCAGGCGCAGTTCGGCACACTGCACGAATACTTTGATGCCGTTCACCAGGCGGAGAAGTCGGGACAGGCGGAGTTTCCCACACTCAGCGGTGATTTCTTTACATATGCCGATAGGTCGGATAACTACTGGAGTGGCTACTACACGTCCAGACCTTACCACAAGCGCATGGACCGCGTCCTGATGCACTACGTCCGCTCGGCAGAGATGCTCTCCGCCTGGCATTCGTGGGACGGAATGGCACGCATCGAGGAGCGTCTGGAGCAGGCCCGCAGGGAACTGTCATTGTTTCAGCACCATGACGGCATCACTGGCACTGCCAAGACGCACGTGGTGCAAGACTACGAGCAGCGGATGCAGGAGGCACTAAAAGCCTGTCAAATGGTGATGCAGCAGTCTGTCTACCGCCTGCTTACCAAGCCCTCCATCTACAGTCCGGACTTTAGTTTCTCGTACTTTACGCT